ATCAGATGAAGAAAGATTGTGGTGGGGGAAAGAGACTTGAAAACAGGAAAGGAAAAGATGCGAGATAATATTAAATAGGGTAATGACATTGCCTTTAGTACACAGATAACAGCAACAGGAACATTTAGAAATGTTAATTTTATTACAAGGGAAAAATAATCACCCCAGAGAAGCTGAGACCCAAATCATGATTTCAGTTTCAGTCTTTACTGAGAAAGTGTGGTGATTGCCTCTTAGGTTGTCTGGCTTGAAACGGTATTACTGTGTTTGTCTTTAGGCTTTCTCACATGAACAGTTTCTGGCACGTTCTTTGTTTCTACCGGGAAAATCTCACTTAATGCCAAGTACTGTTTGGCACAGTGTGTTGGTGCTTTGGTAACTATTCAAATTAATATTAAGAACACACACAACCCTTTTTCTTATTAGGACAGAACACTTATTCCTTTTTACTCTTTCCTTCAGTTGTAGCAGTCTGATTCTATGGTGATTCGAGAGTAGAAAGGATGCAAAAAGCCCTTTGATGATTGATTTATGTGTGAATTTGATACAGCCATTGTGTGCCCAGGTGGTCGGTTGAACAGTATTTTTAGGTGTGTCTGGGCAGCATTTGGAGTGGTAGACAGAGCAAGGCAGATTACCCTTCCCCCAGTTAGCCTTCATCCACTCCACGGAGGGCCTGAGTAGAGCAACAGAAGAATTAAGAAAGCGTTCACTCTGGGTCTGTCTTGAGCTAGGGACAACTGTCTTCTCCTGCCTTCGGACACGAACTTGGAATTTAAGACACTAGCTTTCCTTGTGTTTGGACTGACTTGACTTGGGGTTTACACCATTGGGCCTCCTGCTTCTCAGTTCAGGGCTGCAAATTCATATTAGAACTGTGATTCTCCTGGCCTGAACTTTGTAGCTTCTGTAAACACATGAGCCTATGCTTTATTTATTTATTTTTTTTGATACTGGGGGTCGAACTCAGGTCCTTGAACTTGCAAAGCAGGCGCCAGAAACACTGAGCTAAATCCCCAGCCCCAAGCCTATGCTGTATAATACATCTGTGTATATTATAGAACTATTCGATCATACAAATCCACTATTAAAACTTTTGTTATGCATACCAAAATGACTAATACATTTGTATCATCTAATAGCTGTATGACATATGCAGGATATATTATAAGCAAAATACATCATAGGTGTTCGTGTATCTATTCATCTGTTGTTATTGCTTTTTCTCTGGGGAGCCATTATATCCTCTTTTCATTTATATTAGATTAAAAAAATATAGCTTCTTGACTGATGATCATTCTCAAAGATGTCTAACACCCTAGTTAAGAGTTCTGTTTCTTAGTGATCTTTCCATATTGCAGAGACAGACTAAATGCAACTGACTCAATACAAAGAACAATACTGACCTTATTCTCATCAGAACAGAAAGACAGAAAGAATTATGTATATTAAAACGTAGTGTTTCTCCACGCATACTCCGCGGATCAATGGTAGCGATACAAACTCTTTCAGTGGATTTTTGAGGAAAGACTGTTTCAATAACAAGGCTAAGATGTTTCCCATTTTCTCTCTCATTTACTTATGAGTGTGTGGTCAAATTCCCAGAGGCTTCATGCTGTGTGATATCGCAATATATCGAAAAAATAAGAGCAAACGAGAATTGGCTGGCTTTGTTAAGTCAAATGTGAAAGAGATTTGTTTTTATTTTGGAAAATACAATTATGTTCCATAAATTTGTGTTATTGAGGTTAACAAAATGTGATCGTTATGGAGATTGTTATTGTTAATCAAACAAATTAGTTCTTATTTAAGCAACTTCTGGTTTTAATTTTTTGTTATGCCCCACACTGATAGAAATCAACGAATGAAGGTTCTTTGATGTCCTTAGTATCCTTTTAATGTGCAGGCCGAGACTAAAATCTTCAAAAAGCTATCAGTGTAATCCAGGGGTTGCTGTAGGCACAAAGGTAGCTGTGATGCCAGTGATCCATCAGCTCATTATGTCTCGAAGCAACATTCACCAGATGCAGTTGTTTTATTTTTGTTGTGTTTACATTTTCTGATAATTTACCTCACACATAGGAGAAGCTAATGCTGGCTCAGCTCTTACACCCTGGAATATTGTTAGGGTGAGCCTTTCCGTCTCCTCTTCCAGTCCTGCTGATGACTCAAGGATTTAGTGAACTTTGCACACCTTGTTGAATGGTGCCAGTTACCAACTCACTACCTCAGCTCTGAATCCGCCTGTCATTCCCTGCTCTGAGACAGGAAGAGCCTGATCTCTAAGTATTCCTCCTTAACACCTCTCACAGTGCCCTTGTGCATATGGGGCAGAGGACAGATGTGGTAAAAAGAGGGACACCCCCCGCCCCCGTGGAGTTCGCTGTACATGCCCCGCTCCCTGACTCTACATGGGCAGGGCAGTGCCGTGTGATTGCTGCACTCAGTTCCTGGGTGAACTCACAACCCCAGCCCTGGCCTGGCGATGGTCTTGTGGTCACCTGGTGACCCCCTGTGTGAAGTGGGTGACCCATCACCAGCCTTATGCGACCCTGCTGCTCTGGTTGATGCGGACGAGCTCCAGCCTGAGAGACCCAGCCAACTTCTCCACCTTTCTCATTAGTGGGCTACATCCACACCTTGTTTTTTGGTACCAGGGATCAAACTCGGGACTTGCACTTGGGAGGCAGGTGGCAGAACTGCTGAGCTAAATCCCCGGCCCCACACCTGTTTTAAAAAGGACTCTGAGCAGTGTCCTCCCCTTCCACGTTTCCTCCTTGCTTGGAACTTGGTTGTTGAAGTTTTACCCTCTGATGGGTAATAATTCTTTATATTACACTTGTTAAATTTACTTGGTAGCTTCTCTCTTTTATTTGGTCTCCGAATAAATGAAGTGCTTCCTAAGAAGACATTATCTTTCTGAAAGAGGAAGGTCTTTTTAAAATTATGGGCCAGAATGAGAAATTTGGAAACTGCAGACCAGTCGTAGGAAGTAAAACTCTTATGGAGGAAAGGGTGATGGGTCTGTGAGTTTGGAGAAGGTAGTTTAGGGACAGAAGTGAAAAGTAACATGCAAAGCACTTTGGAGCAACAGCATGGAAAGATGTGGATTCTAAGCAAAGAATTTGGAGTTTCTCCCGCTTTCATCAATGAATTTTAAATAAGAACCAGCTTAGTGAAAATATTGTTAGTGTACTGAAGTGTAAACACACTGACACGCAACATATATATAAGTTTAACAATAAAGTATAGACAGCTATTTATCACTCATTATTTTCTTGGCTATTAATCTGACTTCCTGTGTTAATGTTATTCCAAGAAGTGTAGCTTACAGATAAAATATTCATTAGTATAATAAATCTACAGGGCATTGCTTATTCACCCCTGTGTTGGTCTGTGGTGATTATAAATTTGGGACCCGTTTTCTTTGGCTATTCTTTAAGGAGAAGCTGCCATGTATTGTAAATACGTGCTGCTTTTCTCTCACTTACTGAACTGAAATATGAAGTATTTAGTTTTTGTACTGTGGTTTTATAAATGCCCTGATGCTGTTACTCGGTAGGGCTTAAAGAGGATCTTATTTTTTAAGAGACCAGCAACATTTTTTGATTTATTTGATGTCATTGTTCAAGCAATGCTTCTTATGTAAAGTAGTTTTCATGTATTCTCTTTTTAGTAGAAATTCAAATTAAGGTATAGTCATTGCACAACATTAAGAAACTATACATAAATAAAAATAGAGAAATCAGTTAAAGCCCCAACAATGCCCTGTTTAGGTGTTGATATCCCTTGTGCAGGTTTGTGTGTACGTGTTTATGAATACCCATGCACCAGAGTGTGTTTAATGTTCTCTGTGATTGGGATGATGGAGGGGAATCTTCTATCAAACCTGAAGCTGTGTCCCCGGTACCCATCCTGTGTGCCATGACTTGAACGTGTTGTTTGGGAGTGTTTAGTGTGGCCTGGGTGTAAGTTACTACATTGTCAAGAGCAAATAGAGAGAGTTGAGTAATTATACATGATTTTGGGGAGAGGTTCAATTGTTACCCTTATAAAAATGGGCTCTGTAGCACTGTTCCTAATATGTGGTAGTTAAAATGATATCATAGTAGAAATAATTAAAAAACATTTTTTTGTACCTTGAGTGTGAGAAGTACAAGTGATCACATTTTTGTTCTGGGTCCCTTGATTAGTATCCACCAGAACCGGATAACAACTGTTTGTTTTTCTGGTGTTGCTCTTGGATGAATGTAGAAGCAGCCTGGTGTTGAAGTCCCATTTTTATGGTTGGTCACTGCTTGACTTATGTGTGCAACATAACAGAGGTGACGAGCTGACCACTAGTGGCTAACGCTGCAATGAACCGGTGGTGTGCTCACGCCTGAGCTTTCGAAAAGTTTGAAACTAGCCCTCACACTTCCTCACACTTCCTCCGTAAACTGAGATCCAAAGTGTCCACTACATGGTGCAAGGTCATGTAACTTGCAGAAATTATGATGGAGGAATTTAAGGTTGGAAATGATTCTCTGCCTGCCTTCTGAGCCCATCTTCCTACAATAACATTCTGGCTGGAGAACAAGAAATATGTGCCTTCTGTGTATGGAGGCCTGTGAGATACTGTTTTGTTTATGTATTATATTTTAGAATCCCCTTCTCATAAAACTGAAGAATTTGGGGAGTGAGATGTGGCTTTCAACCAGGTTCTACCTGGTCTATGACTTTTGTAGCCTTGGTCTCTGGTCTCCCACTAAGACAAGGACGAGTTTTGTTTTGTTTTTTTAATGGAGACTGAATGCATGTGTGTACTTTGAACAATGTCTGTTACCTAGTATGAATTTAATTCTCCTACTTATTTGATTGATATCTTCTTAGACGATACTCTGAAAGTCATAGATTTTGAGATAAATTTAATGTTTATAATGGATTGGTGTCCTTTCACTGTTCTGTGTGCCCATGGCTTAAAAATCTATTTATGTCCATTATTTATAATGTCATTTCAGGCTCCTATATGGTAGTGGACTCCTCACTTCATGACCCTGGAGAAAAAGCCCGACTGCAGCTGCCTACGATGAAGGAGAACGACACTCACTGCATTGATTTCAGTTACCTGTTATACAGCCAGAAAGGGCTGAATCCTGGCACGCTGAACATATTAGTCAGGGTGAATAAAGGACCTCTTGCTAATCCAATTTGGAATGTGACTGGACTCACGGGGAGAGACTGGCTTAGGGCTGAGCTGGCAGTGAGCACCTTTTGGCCGAATGAATACCAGGTAATCGTCAGCACCTTTCTGTTTTATGCTTTGATGTACCGGATCTCCTGTGAATGCAAATACTTAGTAAGAAGGAGTTTGTCCCTGTGGCCTCCCAACCTGTATTCTTGAAGAAGACTTTGACCACACTGGCACCCACCCTTTAACAGTGCACCCTTTAGAAAGTAGTAGGTTCCAGTCCGAAACTTGTTGATTGTTTGTGAGGAACTGCTCATTGACAGAACTAGTCCGATGGATTTGTTCAGGAAGACAATCTTTTCAAAACTTTGACTATGATGTTTAGTCTGCATTGGTTTACTGATTCCTGGAAAATAACGTGTAAAAAAAGATGAAGTAGTGTTTTTTTGAAATGTGTTACCTTTAGGAGGAGGTATTTTGATTAAGTATTTGGATTTTTTTTTTTTTTTTTTTTTTTTTTTTTTTTTTTTTTTTTTTTTTTTTTTTTTTTTGGTATCGGGGATTGAACTTGGGTCCTTGTGCTTGCAAGACAGGCCACCAAACCGCCTAGCTAAATCCTTGGCCCTGGATATTTTGATTAAGTATTTGTATTGTCAATTAACAGAACATGAAAATGAGCAAATCAAAAAAGACAAGTTGCCGGTAATATTTTCAGATTGTTTTTACCCCAGATCTTCTCCAACGATTATGATTAAGCTAGACAAGTAATGTTCATAGGCACTTTTAATCTGCATGTCTGAGTTTATGTGGTTTAACCAAAGAAGTACATGTGATGTTGGGTTCCTGCAAACAAAGTTACCTTTTGAGAAAGCTCATCTTTTGTTAGACCTTGAAATTTAAACATTTAAAATACTTATTTGCGGCTCATTATGGAGACTGAAAGAGTCCATTTGTGGAAAAGCATATTATGATCACCAGTGGCCTCATGTGGAAAGTCCTTACAGACTCGTGCCTGCTTTTAAAAACTGAGCCATTTCTTCAGGTTAGTCCTGGCTTTCTCTAGACAAGAGGGGAGAGCGTTGCTTTGTGTGTCTTGCTTTTCCTGAGTTGATTTCCTCTGTTACTGCAGTCTGTTACATCATAGGCATGGTCCCACAGCACAGATTCTTGGTGTGGGTGGTGTCTATTGACGTTTTATGGATTTTCCCTGGCACTGGTTGACTCTGTTGTTCCTGGGGCCATGGGCATTCGTCCTCGGCTTGGGGGTACGCTCTGGCTGTCCAGGGTCCTCAGCTGCAGCAGGGCAGCCTATCTTGTCGGGTGGTGGTGGTGGTAGTGTGCATGTGCGCGTGTGTGTGTTTGTGTGTGTGCGCGTGTACGAAGCTGATGTGAGAGCAACAGATACACACTCAGAGGGCTCAGGCCCGACTTTGGGGGTGGATGGCTGTCATCACAGACTCCCCTGCAAGGTCTTCTGCAGTCCACTCATTCCACAAGAATCTGTCCCTGGAGCTTAACGTAACCCTGGGAGGAAGAAGCTCTGATTCGGCAGCATAAACTGAACCGATTAAAGACGCGAATAACAAGTTAATAAAACAAAATCTTCACACGTGTGGGTGCAGGAGTTGGGTCCTTCTCTTGAACCCTGCTTGCTAGCTGCTCCCTGCGTAGTTTTCCGTTCTTTAAGGAATCAAACTCTTAACTGTTTCTTAAAAACAAAAAGAAAGAGGTGGATTTGGATGAGTAACACGCTTTTGGTCTATTTGTTTTCCTTCATAACTAAGAAATGGTGTGCATGGCGTTCTTTTCTTCATCCTTTAAAGCTCTCACATGGAGTCATTGATATTAATAAAATGTCTTGTGGCACAGGTTATTGCAACATTAGTTTAATGTTGAGTTGTGCTTCCTGGCACTGGGAGAATAGTTCTTTATTCAAGATCCTTTTGAATGACAAAGTGCTTTATGTTTCTGTGCTTGCGGTGTGTTTAAGCAAGTAGCGCAGAATGTGCCCCAGTGAATTCCAACCTGACCCGGGAGATATTTTTTGGAAATGTCAGAGAAAAAAAATAAACACCTAAGTAGGTGGAACCTAAGGGTAAATGTTACTGCTGAAGATTAAAATTTGACCCATCGTCCACAGTGCTTACTCTGCTTCTTTGTCTTTCTTAGCTGCAATAAGAGCAAACTGTGGAGTATTTTTTATTCGGGTGCTTAGTGCTCATGAATTATTTGATGGGTGATTTCATCAGTTGCATCATTTAGATTTCTAAATGTACCTGTGTATCAGGTCTCACAAACAGAACCTAGTACAGGCTCTACTTATGCAGCTTCTCTGTTACTAGGAAACAGTGAAAAATACATCATCGATAGCTTTCAGAAACAGCAAGATTTTGGTTAAGTGACGATTTGTAGGGAAGATGTGGTAGAACGTGGTGATAGGGGGATGTAAGTGTGTGCTGCCTTGGAGTAAACGCAGAGAACCTCCTCTGGGGCCACTGTTAAAGTCCTAGTAGAGAATTTGGAGGTGTGGTTTTATTTTTGTAAAAGAAGAGGACCAGCTCGTGGCTATGCAGAGGCTCTTGTCAGACTTGACCACCGTATCGTTTAAAATTTCTTTCTCTCCAGTCAGTTTCTGCTCAAGTAACTGGTTAAGATTCCATAATTTTCTCATGCAGGAAGATATATAAAATATATATTTTAATAAAATGACTTTAAAGAGAACACGACCTTCCCCTAAGAGTGAAAGTAACAGGATGACAAAATATAGTTGTTATCCCTCAAACTGTCTCATTTTTCAGAGAACCTCTTTTTAGAATTGCCAGGATGAATTAGCTTCAGATTGTGTACGAATTTAGTCAATGAATTAATCCACTGGATTTCAGTATTTGGTATTTCAGACTTTCCTTAACTTTGCTTTTAATATAATTTATGGAAATGTGTTTGTTCTTCATGGTTGGCCCAACTTATGAATGGATAAAACTACTGGCTCTATAGTGTGGCAGATTGATTTATTTCTTTTTCAATCAAGCCATTTAAAGCTGTAGAATGCCATTGATTATACACTTTCTACAATCAAATAAGTTTTTGACAATTATTATGTTAACAGACTATTATATAAAAAGCTGTTTCTTGCCTATGGATTTAAAACCATGCATGTCTTTTCAGCTCAGCGTACAAATAATAGAAGTTATCATATTTGATTAATCTGTAATGATCGCAAGATGCTATGTCATGTATTTTTATAGGCTGTATGTTAGTGCCATAGATTCCTAAATTAATTGCTTTAATAGATCTAAACAGAAATAAACCAAAAGTACTTACAAGGCATCCTCTCAGTGTTACCTTGTAACTGAAGATGTCTACACCTCTAATAGTGTAGTTTTCTCCACTCTGGAAACCTGACCTGTCTTATATGCATAAAGCTAAATTCTACATTGGGATTGAATCCATTAGTTTCTTACTGAACAGTGAGGTTGTTACTAAATGAGGCAGACAGATGACATATATACTTGCAAAACTATTAGAGGAAACCTAATCTGCTGTTTTCCATTATCCGGGTGCACACCATTAATCATGAAAATGATGTGTGGTGAAAACTACAGGGGTTTGGCCAGAAACTGGAAAGTGACGATGTAACAGAAAGTGCCTTTTTCTTCCCTAAATCACCAGGAAACAAACACTGATCTTTTGCAATCTACCTTTTTAAAACATATTTTGCATGGGTTTGAAAAGATATGAGGACTGGACAGGTCTGAGACTTGTGGGCTTGTCAGCTTATGAAAGGTTTGCATCACCGTGTATTGCTGTGCTATTTCGGCAGTAGAAAGTTTGCTGTACTCCAGGGATCCTGCTGGCCTTGGGTCTAAAAAGACAGGGCTTGAACTAAGTGAATGTATCCCTGAATAGAAAGCCTCTAAGAGATGGATCTGGAGGCACAGACACCCATGTAGGAAGGGTGCTCAGGGACTGTCCCTCAGCCTGAGGAAGACAGGGTGTTGCACTCTCTTAGGGTTTGCTGGGCCTCACTCCTGCCTGCAGAACTCCACCTCGGCAAGGAGGATGGCAGGAGTCTTCTTTCCTAAGATACACCTTTCTTTCTTTTTAGTTTCATGTGGTCCTGGGGATTAAACCCAGTGGGCCTTAGCATTGATCTACATCTCCCACATCCCCATCCTTTTTTGTTGTTGTTGTTGTTGTTGTTGTTGTTTTTATTTAGAAATAGTGTTTTGCTAGGTCACTAAATTGCCCAGGCTAGGCTCAAACTTGTGGTCGTCCTGCCTCAGCCTCCTGAAATGCTAGGTTTCCAGGAGTGCGCCAACTTCCTCAGATTCCTGAGTGTATACTCCAGATGTCACTTCGTCACTGAGAAGCACTGTACCTGCCTCTGGCTCATGACCACGGTCACTGATCTGTGAGGTAAATATTGCAGTAGTTATCATCCTCACCGTCTTGCATTTTGGCAAGACTTTGTTCCAGCTCACTTGCTTATCCCATTTCCCTTTGCTGGCCGAGATGGCCACGTGATGTGGCTCCGTTTAATGAGTAAGAAGGACAGACTGCTGGGGGGAGTTTCGGGAAAGTTTTACCTATCTGATTAAAAAGAGAGAGAAATTTTGGCATGAGCACAAGTACTGCTGATACATTGCCGACCTCTTGTAACTATGAGCGTGGAGATAGTTGGCCAACTGAGAAAGAAGATAGGAAGGAGCCGAGGCCGTTCTCTTAGGCAAAGTAAAAACAACATTCATGACAATGAGGGTGATGATAAAGATAATAGCAACTCTTACGTAAGCAGTATTTGATTAGAACTCCACCGTGGAGCCCCAGTCATCCTAATGTAACTTGGCACGTTATTCTTGCGCTATCCGCACGTTGCTTGTGGTGAGCACATGTGATCACAGAGCTAAGGGTGTGCATCTGTTTATGAATGAAGTGATTAGAAATCACCAGTCCAGGTGGAGACAGAATATAAACCTGGACACTTGCAGTGGTAAAAAGTGTGCAAGACAGTGGGCTCAAGACTGAGGGTAGACAGGAAGACCGGAGCAGGGATGTGTCCAGAGACGATAGGACCTGGGTTGGGTTTTGTCCTAACTTGTTTT